CTCCTCCCTTTGATAACTGAATTTTTGTCTCTCTCTCGATAAAAAGAAGAAAAAAAAGAGAGAGAGAACAATGGATCATATCTTCAACAAGGTTGGTTCCTACTGGTTAGGTCAGAAGGCCAACAAGCAATTTGACTCCGTCGGTAACGACATCAACGTACGTCTCTCCTTCTCCTCTATGTCTCTCGATTTAGGGATTTCGTTTGTAGCGCCATTCGTAGAATCTGATTCATCTGTTATCTTTGATCGATTTTGATTCTGATTTTCGTTGACCTAATTGTGTGTGTTTATTCCCATTAACGTTGGATTTCTCCTTGATTTTTGACCGAAAATTTCGTATCATCTTAGTGATTTTGGTATTATGCATTTCTGAATCACAAACGGACGGCGATATTTGATTTTGAGTATAAAACTTTGTGAAATCGAATTCAACATTTTGGGGTTATTTTCAAATGCAACATTTTGAAGCCTATAATAGTCTCTGCAAATTTATAACTTTTTTTTTATTACTTCCTTGAACAGTTTACATGGTTCTGTTTGGATTATATTGGATTCACTCTGAATCTTCCTTTTAACATTGTTTTTGTATCGGACAGTCTATGTCAGCGAGCATCGAAGGAGGAACAAAATGGTTGGTCAACAAATTTAAAGGTCTGTTTTGTTGATTCTGCTGCATCTACACGCTTGATCACTCTTTTGACATTTTCCGTTTCTTTCTCATTCACACAGGAACAATGCAGAAACCTTTGCCCGAGTTACTTAAGGAGTTTGATTTGCCAGTGGGGGTCTTCCCACGCGATGCTACAAACTATGAGTTTGATGAACAGACAAAGAAATTAACAGTGATGATTCCATCGGTCTGCGAAGTCGGCTACAAAGACTCATCTGTCTTGAAATTCACCACAACAGTAACAGGGTATCTCGGGAAAGGAAAGCTATCTGATGTGGAAGGAATCAAGACAAAAGTTATGATATGGGTTAAAGTCACAAGCATCTCTGCAGATTCATCAAAGGTCTATTTAACTGCCGGAATGAAGAAAAGCAGAAGCAGAGATGCTTATGAGGTTCTAAGAGATGGCGTACGAGCCGATAAATTCTAAAAAACTTTGCCTTGGTATTCCCCATTCCTCTCTTATTTGGTTCTTCTTAATTCTAACTTCTAAAGTTTGAAGCTTTTTCTTTTGAATTTGGGTTTTGATTTGAAGCTGTCATGTGAGTATGCATATTAACTGGTTCATGAATTTGATGAACCGAGGAAAATGATGATAACCTTCGATTTCTTTGGTTAACGTAGGAGTGGAATCCATGTAATATCTTCATCGTACTTTGTTTAACAAGTAATATTGTTAACTATATAAATTATTTGTGTGCTCAATGATTTGTTTAGAGAAATCTTTGTCTTATGAGATCTTGAGAAGTCTTTATCTTACTCTGAGATGTCTATCATTGTCTCCTTGTAATACAAAGATTTCTAAAAATCTCATAACATAGAAAAGGTTTTAAGTCATAATAAAGCATTGCAGGTCTAATTAGTTTTACAGCTAGGAGGAAAACATTGGGAAATAAAACAAAGAGAAAGAGCCATCCACCTAATTAGGTGGTGGTGGCTTTGCGCTTGATCATGAGCATCTTATTCCTTTTAAATGCTTTGCACTTGATCAAGAGGAGTCTCATCATCTTTGAACATGCTTGGAAGTTCTTTGTCTTTGAACTTGCTTGGACGTGCTCATCTATTATGCTGAGTCAGGTGAAACAAAAAAAACATCAACAGAAATGAGCCAAAACAACAAGAATCACCATCCATAGCTAAAACAACAACCATCACCATCCATAGCTAAAACAACAAGAATCACCATCCGTAGCTAATCATTAACAAAAACTAGCACTTGTAAGAAACAATCTTTGAATGAGTAAGCAAGCCCTTGAAGAAGAAGAAGAAATAAATTTAAAAGTAGTTGGTAGTAAAATATAAGAACCTCAAGACGATCATACATGGCCTGACGACGCTCAACCCATCCCGGCTTGAGCATCCTAATACGATAAATTGGTCGTACTCTAAATTCACCAGGAACATATCTATTGACGCGTTGATGATCGTAACGAAATGAACGATATAGCCAATTATGTTTGAGTTGAAATAATAACAAGAGAAACCTTTTTAAACAAATTTGCTTAGGTGTCATCACCATAATTTTTTTTCAGCATTTTCTAATTAATTAATTATTATTTTTAAATTACTACTATTCTAATTGCCAAACACATGTTTTGAGATGACTCAAATTAATTCTATTGCCAAACACATGTAAAGTATATATAAATATTAATTGAATCGATCAAAACAATTGGAAAAGAATGTAGATTAAATCATTGGTAAATGATTTTTTAACTATGATTCTTAACAAACAAAACTGAAACATTAGAGAAAAAATACAATTGAAATCTTTTATATCGATGATTCAATTTGAAGAATACAACTCAAAAAAATTAAATTCTGAGTAACTATTATCATCGATTTTTTAAAATTCTATTATTATTTTTGGGTATATCACCAAAGTTTAATATACTCAACTTCATCTAACTAACTTACGTAAAAAAATATTTGTAATACATCGTGACAAATGAAAACTCACTTTGGTTAATTTAATGTTGTAAACCTCCAAATGGTGTTCTATTTGAAAGGGATAGAAAAACAAACAATAAATGAGATTTTCAAAAAAGTGTAAACAATGTAGGTGATTGGTTCGGCTGTAGCTGTAGATTAATTGCTGTAAAATTTTTGCTGTAAATATTTTGGCTGTAGCTGTACATTTTTTAGGCTGTACATTTTTAGGCTGCAGATTTTTTTGCTGTACATATTAAGCTGTAGNTGTAATATTAAAATAAAAACACGATTGGTAACTATAAGATATGTGCTGTAATTTTAATTAAATTAATTTATGCAAATAAAAATTGTTATAATTTAGAAATTTTATGTTGATTTGAACATAATAAATAATGAACTTCTGAATCATTCATAATAAGTAAAATCATTAAAAAATTGTATAATCTAGAAAAGAGACTCACTGATTTGATTTGTGGTGAAGAGAAAATAAGAAGACGTGTTTCTTCAAACCTTTGTGACGGCAATATACACACACATATATATATATAGGTTAGACTTTTTTCAATTAGGTAAATCGATGTGCTTATCTTGATTTTTCCATTTTTTAAAAATAATTTTTTAAAAAAAATAAGAGTGTACAGCCATAAAAATGGGGCTGTAGGATTTTACATGTTACAACAAAAGAAATTTTAAAAAAAATTAAAGAGACTGTAGCTTATAGAATTAAAGCAAAAACATGATTGGTAACAAAGGATGTAGGTTTGAAACTTAAAGAATTAAAGCTACAACATGATTGGTAACATAATGATGCTTTAAGAAAAATTAAGGCTGTAGACAAGGCTTAAAGCCCAACCAATCATGCACAATATCATTTACTAATCAAATTTATTGTTTTCTAAATTTGATAAATTGGATCTAGAAAGGAAACCACATAAATTGGAATAGATGATATGTGAATTACGTGAATATTGTTTTTAAAATTTTGATTCAATTCAATTACGTGAACTTTATTAAAATTTTGAATCGATATTAATTTATTTTTTGGGTCAAAAAACAAAATTAAGCAAATTTCTCTTAAATGATTTTGTTGTTCTATTTACGAAGATATACATAATATTTCATTTTGTATATTTGATTTATAAATCGTATCTTTAAATATTATGATATAAATTCAAAGCATTTTATTGATTAAGTGTTATATATCACAAAGTTTGACACANATTTAANGAAATAAATATACTTAACTTTTAAAAAGTATTTGATGTATCACTAATTATGATTGGTCTTATATGTGTATGATTTTTTTATTGAATAAAGGTTAAAAATATGTTATTTGGAACACATGTCTAAACAAAATGATCTCAAAATTTAAAAATAAAACGGATTCTCTGTTTTGTTTAATAATTTTCTTAATAACTTCAATTGGTTTTCTTTTTTGAACAAAAAAATAAAAAAAAAATTTACAATTGGTTTTTTAATTAAAAATACATTGATTTATTTGATAGTCATTTTGTCCCGCGTATAACACGAGTATTTACCTAATATATTTGTATGCTTGATTTATTTATATAGCCAATTATGTTTCTGAAAATGAGAGATTCATTAGAATTTTGTTTTTCTAGAATCAATTTGTTTGTAGTAGATATTATTGCAAATGTTAATCCATCTTAATTATTATGTCATCTCCTATGATTTGTTCTTTCATGAAATTAAACAAATGTTTCCTCTCATTTAATTGTACCTCAAACCTTTTTGTCTTTTTGTGATTAAAAAAACTTTGATCCATATTATCACAGCCAGGTTCTATGATAAGTCCAAAATCAGAAACATTATTTTTAGTAATTAGCCTATGTATTATTATTATAGACTATGATGTCCTATGTATATAACTCTCACTTGCAATTAAAAAGGATTTTTCTACAAGCTCAAATACAAAAAAACCACGATTCATTTTTTAATAATGTTTTATTTTGGATCGATCAAAGACAGCTCGATGGATTCATTCAATATACAGATCTCGCCAAAAAAAAAAAAAATTGTCAAACCAATTTGGAAATATTTTTTTTTTTAAAAATGAGGAAAAACAATACTATTAATCTCTGTGTTCTCTCTTCTCAGTGAAGCTTTTGGAGAAGAAGAAGGAAGAAGATGTCTCAGAGATGGAGCAGAAAGAATACTCGTCTTCCATTAGCGATTCTTCTCTTCATGCTCTTAGTCACTTTTACCATTCTCTACATAGAGCGCAGCATTCAGGAGATCCATCACGATACCAATCCCGAACAAAATCTCCGTGAAGCTTCCAGGTTTACTTACGTCAAGCCCAATCTTCATGCGAATAAGCTTCCAGGTACTCTTCCTTCTTACTTCGATTATCCAATCGAATTTGTGTTTGTTCTGGTTCTGGTTCTGGTTCTG